CTAGAAAAATTGAACTGTTAGAAGATTACAAAATTCCGGGAAAAACTGAACTGATTGCCTTGGCTACTTGTAAAGACGAGTTTGACGAGAATGTCGTAATAATAGAAGGAGATCCTGAATCAAAATTATGCAGAAAAGGTATTGTACTTGCAATAACTTTATCAAAAACTAGAAATCACGTTGTGCCTGTACGTTTGATGAATGTAACCGAGCATAGCCAACTATTGAAGAAAGGAGAGACACTTGGTAGCTGGGAACCGGCATGCACGATTGTTGCCTGTGAAGATTTACATTGCAAAAGGGTTATTCCCAAGAACCTCCCTCAAGCGTTGAAGGATGTCTGCGAAAAACCTAACCGAAGTTCAGGCGCACCAAGTGGTCAACCTTCTGGAAAGAAATTTGGACGTGTTTGCACTCTCTGAAGACGACTTCGGCAAGACAGATGTAGTTCAGCATCGAATAAATACTGGCGATGTTGCTACAATTAAACTGCCATTATATATATATATATAATAAATACCGAAGAGACGTTGTGGCCTCTGATTTCGGAGGCGACAACGTTTTTCGAATCGAATCTGGGGTCAGGTATCAGTAAGAGCTCAGGTATCAGTAACATGGTAGCCTCCGTATCATCCAAAAAACGAATTAGTTGGCGTCTATACCACGGCCACTGGTGGCGCACAAAATTTATGAAGGGGTCACACTGTGGCCTCCGGATATATATACACAGTTTTTGTGATACATACGACTCTTTGGCGCCTCCGCGGAATGACAACAACGCAGAGGAGATAATGCTTGATTACTGGATTTGCCATGTATAAATGGGAAGCAAATAAAATGTTCAAATCATATGAACAAAGATTTTTATACTTTAGTAATAACTTGTGCAACACACCATGTTGTGCATACATGTTTAAATATTGCATTTTTTTACTATGTCATCCACAACTAATCTGTTATTAAAACTGAGCGGTATCCCAGAACTACGCTACTTGTAAATGATATTTAAATTTTTTATTAGTAGTGCATCATTTGCGCACCTCAAGATAATTCATTTATAAACTGATCAACAAAATAATCGTTTCACTGTAAAGTTTTCCATAACTTTGGAACCGGATAAATTATTATTGCTGCGAGCGAATTAATTTCTGTTTGAAACGTTGTCTGGCCCAATTCTGTTTCTCTCACTACGTCTTTTTACAAAATATCAGTACTTCGAGGTACATCAGTATATGCTCCCAATTGAGGAAACAAAAGTAATTTTGGATTTCAACATCAAAGGCATGGATAATTCACATAGGTATCTCAAACTTATTTTTGAAGTTTTCCACTATGGTACAGGGTGATGCAAAAAAATCAGTTTTCATCACAGTCAAATTTCCCCCACAGTCCGACTTCACCCCGAATAACCGGTACTTCGGATTTAATGCC